CTCAGCCCAGTGGATTCATGGGAAAGAAAAAGGGCGCTGCTTTTTGTTGGTGGAGTTTAAAAAGGGGAGCTTTTGCCAAGAAGTTGGAAAGAATTGGCACTGGGCAACTGGGTGACTGTGAGGTCTGGCTTTGTGGGAAATCAGGCCTGGGTGCAAAATGGCCATGGACTCGTTCATATGGACCTACGAGTCACTGACCACACCTGCAAAACCCAATTGTCCAGTGACCCTGCTAGCACCAGGGACCCCGCCAAACAAAAGAGACCAATTTAGGTGGGCCGTCCTCAACAACAAACACTGGGGGGAAGAAGGCTTTCCGTCCGAGTAGTCGGAAAGCCTAGGCTCGCTTTTCGGGGGCGTTTGGGACTGGAATTCACCAAACAAGGTCGTGTGGGATGTGTCCAAAGTCTTCAGGTCGATTCGCTTTGTGAATTCAGATCGGACCATGAGCCGGGCTGCCCATTTTCTGATCCCCCGCTAAGAGTGACTGAAAGCGGATTAAATTCGGAAACTGCCACTAAACACTAAAAAGCTCAATGGCTAAGGGGATGCCACGTGAGGTCGGCTCAGCTTCTCAAGTGCAGCAGAAGTGGCCCAGTGCATAGCCTAGCGCGCGAGGCTCAAAGTTCAAAGGAAAGGCTGTTGCAGTCTGAATGAACCGGCTTCTCCTTTAAAAATATCAGGGTACATGTGGGTTTCCAAATTGGATCCCCACAATGGTGGTCCTTTAACCCCTCAAACATGCGCAAAAAACTGCGGACCCCTTAGTGCCACTTGGGAGATGAAACCACTTAAGCGTATGTCTTGAAGTACTCAACTTTTCGGGTAAAGAAATAACCTGGGTGTAGGCTTCGTCGCTGAAGATTCGCAAACACAACTCCAGGAGGGCGACCTAATTTTATCAATTGTCTGATGAGTCATGCGCCCTCACCCTCGGCATTGCCTCACGCAGTTTCAATCAAACAACATCTAAGCATCCTGCTGAACATGGAGGGGAATGCCTTTTCTACACAAGGGAGCTTTTGGTCTGCCTTCAAGATCCAAAGTCGATTCCCCAATGAGAAGGCGCACTGAAATGGCGCCAACGGTGTGTGTAGAAAGCCGGGAACATCCAAAACCCATGCAGCTTCAGAGGCTGGCAGAGCCCATGTGTGCCAAAAAGGGCGGCTTTCCTTCTGGTTTCCCACCCGAAAAATTAGAGAGCGGGTGCTGGGGATGTGATTTGTCATGGAAAATGATCAAACACACCGTTTTACGTTCTTTCTTTATACTTTTGTCAGCTTGTCTGAGAAGGTACACGAAACACGATGAACTGGGCGCGAAACTCAGCTCGTCATCGCGGAAGATCATGCGGTCGGTGTCAAAGCCCCTCCTGTCCGACTGCTTCTCGCGTATGCCTCGCGCGAAGCAGATGCGCGGTGCTCCAAAGGGTTCCGCATCCATGGCATGGGTATGGGTCAAAATCAAGGGCCCGCGGATTTCAATCCATGCTATGTACTAGGCATTTTTTGCATTTTGGGCACCCGTCTTTTTTTTGACCGGCCAAATGTGGCAAGGAACTTCCGGGGCTTAGACCTATCACTTTCTGCTTTGCACGTGGCCGTGTTCAAACTGCCCCACTCTGCTCGGAACGGGGCAGAAAACTGCCGTGGATGTCGCGCCCGCCGAGAAAAGGCACCGAGCTGCAACCCGCTAGCGGAGTGGTCTCACTCGCCCACCATGACTTCGACAGGCGAGCGGGTTCGAGTGAGACGCACGCAGAGTGGTCCCATGCCGGGTGCCACTTTGGGGCCATGACGAAAGTTGGTTGGCACTGGACAGCCAAAAGGGGCAGATCGATTCGCTCTGGGCAAGTGAGTGATGCTACGAAAACGGCAGAGAGGTACATCTCTCCCCTTCCCCCTTCCCCCCCCCTTCCCCCCCTTCCGCCCCCCTCCTTCCCCCCTTTCCCTTCCCCCCCTTCCCCTTTTCCCCCATTTTTTTATTCCCCCTTCCCCCCTTTTGCATACGCAAAGATCGGGGTACCCTCCTTCGATGAGCCTGAGGAAATTCAGCTGGATCAAACAGTCCATCAACTTGCTCAGCAGTTCTCCTGTCAGGATCCTTACCTTAAAATGGTCATGGACTCCCATGGTATGCTCTTCTCAAAATTGTTACAGGTTCCACCATCGCACACCTCAATCACACGCTTGCTCGAAGTCCCGGCCTCGCGTGAAGAAGCCCGGGCTCTTGGTCTCAATGCCTTGCCGAGATTGGCCCCGAAATGGCTTCCAGTGGCGAACGGGGCGCGCTTCCAGTTTCGTGTCAGGAAAGCAACCAGAGGTGGGGACACCTCGCTTGTGGACATCTTAGTCTAGGTCCTCCAGTAGAGAGGTTAGAATAAGGGTGCCCTTTTTGCTGCAGTCTATCTTAGTAGGGAAACCCTCCCGCAAAAAAGGGGTTAAAACGGGCACCTAGCTGGGGCACCTAGTAGTGAGTGAATGAATTTAGTTAGGCCGATTTCATGCAACCGACAGTCAGAAACTCCAACCGCCAAAAGGTACAGCGCTGAGAAAAGGGCTGTCCATGATTCAAGTCCGTCTCAGCGGCACTTACTTGAAGAATGGCAAAACCTTGTCTCCTATCATGCACCACAGACGACACACATGCTGCACTGCAGCCTCCACGAGATGCCCGTATTTAAAGCCAATGCTCAACCCAAGAAAGCAATTCAAACATATTCCTGGGTTCAAGCCACCACAGACAAAATATCATAACCATTGATCTCCTAAGGATTGTCATCATCTACATTAGGTCCTTGCCTTTATTATGCTGGGCTGCCCGCTAAAAGTTTAACCTTTGGTGGGTTAAATGGAACCCCTAAAAGCGAAACAAACTAAAAGCCACAAAACGCCTTTCTGGAACCGGACGATTCGCGGGGAACCACCAAGTTTGGGGGTTGAACCCCAGGGATATCACCCAACAACAGATCCAAATCTAGGTCCTCCAGTAAAAAAGTCAGACTAAGGGTACCCAGTTTTTTCTGTGGTCTATCTTAGTAGGGGAACCCTCCCCCAAAAAAGAAAAGCAAAAGTTGGCACCACTGGCGCTCGAAGCTCGGCCCAGCGACCGCTCATGACCTTCAGCTCGGAGCCCCGGCCTTGGCGCCGCTGAAAACTTCTCTGGGGGGTCGAACGCGGGGAATCCCTGGTAGATGGCCCTTGTAAATGGAATACACCAAATCGAAACCAGTGCCTCTATTCCACCTTTTGGGGGGAAGCTGATATACTCCCTGCACAAAACTACATATTCATTGTGATCGATTCGCTAGGGAAATAAAACAACTCGGCTGGTTTTCAGATCCGCTAAAAGTTAACTTTTGGTGGGTTGAATTCGGAAACTGCCACTAAACATGAAGCTAAAAGGCTAAGTTGAACCGGATGGCTGGCTTCGCCACCAAGTTCCATGCGGGTGTGCCTGAAAATGGACCCGAACATTGGCCTCAGAAAAATCTGATGCGGCCAGGGGGTGCAAGGTGAGGCTGTGGGGCCTATTGTCCTGGGCTTTGTCACACAGCTGGCCCCTTGGCCCCTTCAAGTTGGAGAATGCAGATTGAGTCTGAAGGTTTGCTGGTTTTAGCAACCGAAACTTGGAGAATGAGACCTCGGTTGAGACTCTGGGGCACATGGTGAACAAGGCACGGGCAGGAAAAGACACACTTGAGCCCAGAAATTCCCACCAGTTGCTCAAACAAGCAATTGAAACCGGAACCCGCTGCACCCGCCACACCACCCGCTTCTTGTTGCTAGTAGGCATCACCAAAACAAACAAAGTATTCGGCTTCTCTGTGCAGACCGTCCGAAGTGGTTGTCTTCAGATGCGAGCAAGTTCTGGATGCTGGTGCTTGATACCGACTTGTTGTGTCAACTGGCCGAGTGTACAAACACCTGCACTAATCGCGAAGCTGAGTTGAGCAAGTGTCAGGGTTCATCTCTCCACATTGAGAATGCCAGGGATAAACATGGAACAACAGCATAGGGAAGCAACCCATGTCAAACAGGTGGGTCTGCAGCAACATAGGGAAGCAATGTGAAACATCGGCTTATGCTTCTCAATCCAAATGAAACTGGTGGGTCAGCAAAACCTGAGAGAAACGAAGCGTATCGAACTTGGAAGTGACTGCTCAGACTAATGTTGACCCCGGATCTAAGCGGAACCCGTCCTAGTTGGGTTTGGAGGGGGGGTCCTTCCCCTCCACAGTTGATGAAACCCCGCACTTACATGGGGACACCCCCAGTGAAAACTTTTACCAGGCGCTTTTTTATCGGGTTTTTCATTAACCAACGCGTACCCTCCCAAAAACCAAAATAGAACCTGCACAGGGGTTCCTGGAAGAACATTTTCCTTTTACAGGGACCCCTGTGCAGGTTCCATGATTGTTATTGGGAGGGTATCAAACAGGGTTAGCCTAAAGATGCGATTGCTATAGCATTTGGCATTTGTGCACCTGATGCCTCCCACTCGTGACCCCTGATGACTGTGGGACACTTTGCTTGCTAAACCACGCATTGCCTTGAGTGGAATGACCTATACTGCCATCCAGAGAAAAAACACAAACAAAACTGAACTTCAACAGAGTCATTTTGGCCATCGACCTGCGAAGAAAACAGCCCCCTTTGATAGTGCACACTCAAGTGGCCACTGCTTTACTGAGCAAAAACGGTCGAAAGCCAAAGGCAAACGGGCTTCGACTTCCCCAAATGGGTATGGGTCAAAATTAAACCACCAGACAACACCACCAGACAACTGCAGGTTTTAGTCTATGTTTCCATTTGCGAGGGCTCTATTTTGGGTACCCATGTTTGACCCACAGCCACACGAGCTCCCCGCAGAATGTCACGTCTTTCCTCAAGCGGGCTTAATAAAAATGGGCGGACCCCCCAATGTCCAAACCAATGGCCTACCAGTAACCTCCAGAGTCCGCTGGAAAAGAATAACATATTACTTCCATTTGGTTCAGGCCCCAGGAAAAAAACATTCATATTTCCAGTAGTGATGAATTCCTTTAAACACCAACAAGGGACAAAGACATCTTAAGCAAATGGAGGATTGCCAGTAGTGACCGATTCCCTTTAAAGCCAACTGGGGAACATAACACATACGTATTCTTAAACAAATGGCAGGTAATGCTGTCAGTAGCTCACTTGCGTGAATTCAGGTGCCGATCAATCCGAGGAGCGTGGACGCTGCGGGCCTGAGTGCGCGGGTTTCATGCAGACGCCACACGCAATAAAAAGAGAGGCAGAGGTCACTGGATGTCCCCAAATCAAAAGTTGATCAATTTCCAGGTGGCCGTTTTTGTTTTTTTGCATATATATATATATGTATATTTTGTTTAACTGCCTGCCACTGTTGGAGGCTCCCTTCAAAGGGACATGGCTCGGAAACCCGTGAACATCTGGACATGCTGCTAAAAACAATTCTGCACGAGAGGGCCATGGCAAGGACATGACTTGGGGGTCGAATTTTCCCAATTCTCCGCGCGCTCAGAGGAGAAGGGAAGAACCGTTGGATGAGCCTTTCACAACATTTGGGTTGGAGAGCCATATGCCCGCGGGGACACGGGCACCGGTAACATTGCAGCTCGCTTCCAGTACGTTCTGCCCTAAGAAAAAGGACCCCCGGCCCATTTTGGGGTTGACCAGTCTGCATTTCCTCCTGCAAATGGGTCTGCCTTTTGTCAGACCTCCCAAAAAAAGGGCGGTTTTCCACTTGGTTTCCCAGTAAAACCGTTCTCCTTTTCCCTTGACTAGGTCCTCCAGTGGAGAGGTTAGAATAAGGATACCCTTTTGCTGCAGTCTATTTTAGTAGGGGCACCCTCCCAGCCAAAAAGTTTGCAAAAGTTGGCACCCAGCTGGGGGACCTAGTTGTCCGGCTGAAATAAGTACTCTCTGTACCCCAAAATCCTCTGACAGCTTTAAAGGGGCACCTAGCTGGGGCCGTGAAGGTGAAGCGTAGCGAGGCCTCAGCCAGCTCACGACCCATCGCCCGAGGTGCCGAAGATGGCCAGGCGCTCCGTGCCGCCCCCGCGGCCACGGCCGCCCTCCTCGCCTGAGACGCCGGAGGCTCGGCTGGCTGGACCCCTCCGGTTTTGGTCGGTGCTCAAAGGAAAACCAACAGGACAACCGCCATTTTTGGGGGGTCCCCCGAAAAACACACAATCAAATAGAGACTCGTTCCCCTGGAAATGGTTGCAGTTTCCTTTCGGTGTCCTTCTAAACGCCAGCCCAAACTGGGTCCATCATTTGGCGAAAATGGATGCCGTTTTGAGGGTGAACCACTCTGTTGCAGAACCGGAGACTGTGAGAGGGCGTTGTTCCATGTTTGTGTTCTACTGCGTGAATTGTAGTATATTCTGCTGTTCCAGTGAATCTATGTATTTTCAGCTCTTGCTGTGTTTTCGTGTGCTCACAGAGATGTGCTAGACTGAAACTAAGAATGCAGAAGTCTAAAACCAGAACATATTGGCACGAGCCAACACAACAAAACAACAAACACAAAACAACATCCTCCACCGACAACTTTGGAGCTGGTTCCCTCTTGAAATTCCCCACCTTGCAATATTCACAAAGGATACACCAGGGCGGACAATCATTCACTGTTCAAGGGCCCAAAACAGTTGCAAGCCAAAATGTCTGCAGTCGCTTGCCACTTGGAGCTCTTTTAGGACACACTTGCACGTTGGGATTCGTGGCCCGGCGGCTTTTGCGCTTTTGAATCGATCCGACCTCGATCGCCAAGCGGCTCATGAAGAACATCAAGGTGCCCCACTCCTGGCAGCAACTTGGTCGACGTTGGCAGGGGAGGAAAAACAAAACAAACAACAGTTAAGTGGGGATTTCCCACTAAACCACAATAAGCAAAAATGTAAAATGTGTCCCAACAACAACCATGGCAAGGCAAACAAACAATGAGGACGCCATCTTTCCGGTGGATTTCCTTCGGGTGAACGGCGAAGCCTTGTTTGAGACACATCTAGCTTCGATGTGCCAAGGCCGCTGATACATTCATAGCCCTGAACAACATCACCCGTGCAAACAGTAAGCTTGACAGGGCACATGTTCCACGCAATTCCAAGGGTGCAACATTCACTACTTGCTTCTATTCTCATGGATGCTTTGCGAGTTCAGCTGTTGCTGAATAAGGGTGTGATCATAGCGCAAGTGCACGAATGGGATCCACTTCCTTCTCACCTGTCCACAAGACCGAACAGGAAATGCAGCGTTTCCCTTTTGGCGGGCTATGGCCAAATGGATCCAACCTAAATAACGCCCTGCAGCAAAACATCGAGGCCAAAAACACTCACATAGCGCCAAAAAATCCGGCTTGAAACCAACCATCCGTCCTCCTCCATGAGTCCGAGAGTTGCACGGCGGTTGCCTCGGATGAAGGGCAGCTGAGTTTTCCGCGTCTTGGGCTGTGATGGGTCAAAGGGAAACCAAACCCAAGGTTCAGGTAACCGCCTAATTGGTGGTTTAGATTGGTGGTTTGGGGATTTGAACTGCTAATTCTTGTAGAGGGCAAATGGGACACCACCCCACCCAATTCAATCCACCGATTGGCGAGAAGCTGCAAAGTAGCACCAAAAACGGAACCAGAAGGCGCAACGCACCAAACGTTTTCAGACACACCAACCGCGGCTGGAATCCTCTCACTTGCAGCTCGGCGACCTGTGATGTATCCGATGCAATCGCCTGGGTGAACTGCATTGATGTGAGAGAGGTGGTATGAGGTTTCTTGATCTGGGCTGCCCTCAGATCCCCCGCTCAAAGTTTAACTTTTAGTGGGTTCAATGGAAACTGCCACTAAACACTATAAAGCTCAAAGGCTAGGGGGATGGCTGGGAGCCACCAAGTTGATTGATGTGAGTGGTATGAGGTTTCTTGAGAGAGGTTTCATGGCCTACCCTCCGCCAGCAAACGCTTCACACTGAGTTCTGGGTGTGGCCTCTGCCGGTTCTCGCCTCGAACAGCGAACCTCACGAAACCCAAAGAGCCGGGGATCGATGTTTTGCACCAAGCGGAACTGAAAGATCCCAACACGCATCATCGCCAGGCTCGGGGTGGACCCTACCTAT